GTGCCCCTCATGTGACGAAGGGCAGAATTGTTTTAGGTAAAATAATGTTTCGGCTGCCTAGCATGAGATATAATTATCTCTTGGATAATTATATCTGTATATCAACATGTTTCAGCCAATGTGTTAAGCATTTTATGTGTCATTTGTTCCTCAAAAGAACCCTTTATGATAGATATTATTGTAGCCATTTTAAAATGAGGCATTCAAGGAACTGGATAAGAAAGTTTCCTAAACTCTCACAGCCACAGCGAGTAGCGGGTAGGGCTAGGATTGTCGTGCCTCTCAAAGCTGGTATGCTTCCCATCAGCCTTCTGCCGCCTCTGGGCTGGCTGCTTAATTGGGGCTGGATCACATACAATCTCTCGCCTTGTTTTTCCTTCTCATTCATCAGGTCTGTCTCCCTACAATATTTTAACACCTCAAGGACAGGAACATTTTTTGGCATCTCAATTCTTAGCTTGTCTGCGATAATGATGATCACATCCTACAAAAATTTCAGTTTTGCGAAGCAGACTTTCTCACTATCTTTTTGCTCTGTTTTCAACTCAAGTGAAATCCAACATCCACCACCACCACATCAACCACCACCAACTTCTGTCCTAGCCTGCTCTTCACCTCCTATCCTCCCTTGGATCTTTGAGATGTATTTTCAGCACCCATTTATGCTTTGTACCTGGATTTTCTTGTTTCTTATTTTACAGGTTGCTGGCATATTTTGTGAGTACATTTTGCATATTGTCAATCTGCCACATTGGAACATCATTTTCACACTGACTTCAAAAATATCTCGAATTTTTAGTGTTTTAATGTAGGTGAGGCATTTTCATCTGCACAGACGTGTATATCAAGTAGATTCAAGGGCAAAATTTTTTCAAGACTTGATGCTTTTGTGCATTTTATGTATGTAGAATTTTTAAATAAGTGGCTTAATTGCATTCATAATCTACTCAGTTATTACAGTTTTTCTTTGGTATTCAAATGACTTAACATAGGACCTCATTATGTGAGTAGCTGTTCCTTTAAGAACTCCCTTTTTTTAAATGAACAAGGTGGAAAGAGCTTCAAAAAAGTTGGAAGAGGATACAAATCTATTTCAGGGAAGCTTTTCAGAGAAGTTAAAGCTCTACTTTTGCTTTTCTAACACCTCCCAAAATTGCAGTTTAATCTTCGGGTCACCAGAAAAGTATCCAATTATTTTAAATAAAATTGTCTTTTTAAATCAGATTCCTGTGCCTTTAATTAATGATGTATTGTTTAACTTCAATTATTAAGAACATACATTTTTCCTTTGTCCGTTTATAAAAATAAACATGTGGAAGAACTTATGACACTGAAAACAAGCACTTGGGAGAGACTGTGGATGGAAACAAGCAAAAAGTTGAGTCCTTCCATGTAGAAATTGACCTAGTTTCAGTCCACTACTAGGAGAGCAGCACAAGCTCAGAGAGCCTTTGTTGTTTGTTGTTTTCGTGTTACAATTACCAGTAACTTTGAATCAGTGACTCCTATTCTCATAAGACATTTTACTGATCAGAATCTTCTTATTTTGTTGAATTCTCTCTAACCTAAATTTTTGATTCTTTCTTTAAATTAGTAGCCTTTTAGCATTTTGGGAATCTCAGATCACTTTGATAATCTAGAAAGCAGTGGTTTGTCTGTCCAGGAAAATACAGATACACGTAGACACGCCAAATCTAGCATACAATTTTGGAGAGTTCAAGAATTGTTGAACCTATTTGAGGACGCATTATTTTAAAGAGCTTGATGATGACCAATGTGTTTTCACCAAACAAAATTATAATGTTATCTTTAGGCAAAACCTCTTTAAGAACATTAAGTTATATCAAATGTTTCTATGGCTCAAACATTTTAACAGTTTCCATCCATGGATCAAAATATAGAGTAAATAAGTGAACCAAAGCTAACTACATTAATAAAGTCAGACGTGGGCATAAAGCTCTTCAGACACACAGCCACCTGCACATAAAGATATACACTATCAATATTTCCTTACCAACCTGTGGTAGTCATGCTGCTGAAGTAGTGCCTCAATCTGAATTTTACTAAACTAGATTAAATAGCATCCAGTTTTCTGTAATTTGAACAGCCTAGAGATAGTGTGATGGATCCTTAGGTTTTTAAAATGATAAATCAAGCATTTCTGTATTCTTTCCACTGATTTTTGCCAAAGGAAATTAGGATGTGTTTTTATAGGGTCCTCTACAGCATATTCAATATCAAAATGCAGAAAATGTCCTTGATGTTTAAGCCCCTTTATTCGTAGTGAAGATAATCCTGTTTCTGTTTAATCTCTTTATTTATTAGCTTTCATAGTTGCCACTAAATATTTCGAATCGCTTCCAAATTTCTTGGTCTATAATTACATTTCTCACCCAACTGAGATATGTCGTTTGCTTTATCTGTTTTACAAAAATGCATTAAGTACCTTAGTATCCTTTAAAACAAGATATCACATGTGTCAAAATATAATTCTCAAAATGTTACGCATAATTCTCATATAAATAGTTACAAAGCACATGTCAAGATTTAATTTAGCTCAACCATCAGGATGAAAAAAACAATTTAAAAAACTAGAATATATTTATATATAGAGAGAGACTATATGTAATATATATATATATTTCTCTACATATTATATAGTATCTCTGTATCCATACCTATATGGATATATTCATAAATAAATATAAATGATATATATTATATTCATAAATATAGATTTTGATTGCATTCCTGAATGAGACCAATTTTTCCTTTATCAGTTATTTAATTCACAGCATTCGTTTAGCGTAAAACTTCATATACTCAAGGTTTCTAGTTTACAAAGATGAATCACTTTTGTTTCGTAACTTTAGGTACTTTCATATACATCCTCAGACTCATCTGAAAGACTTGTTAAAACACATTGCTGGGTTCTACCCCTAGTGCTTCTGTAGACCTGGGATGGGACCTGGGAATGTGTGTGCCTGTGTGTGTGTGTGTGTGTGTGTGTGTGTGTGTGTTTTATTATACTTTAAGTTCTGTGGTACATTTGCAGAACATGCAGGTTTGTTACATAGGTATAAATGTATATGCGTGTAGGAATTTGTGTTTCTGACCAGTTTCCAGCTGATGCACATTTTGAGAACAAGTGATTTAACTCCAGGCTTTGTTTGAGGATCAAGCAGGGCAGCAGAGAGTGTTGATCAACTCCCAAGAAAGTCAGTACAACCTCTGATTGGCTCCTTATTACTTCTTCTATGTTATTCCTGTTTTCTTCTCCTGTCCCCTCTCTACCCACAAGATCATCCACAACTGTGGCGTCAGCTGCCAAGTCTTTATCGCTGCCAGAACAGCTGCATTCCGGTGCTGCTTCCTACCTTTGAACATTTCAAATCCCTAATAAGGGCCAGACTCCCAGTGTCTTCCCCACAGAGACCCGGCCTCCCTCATTTGTCCCATTTCTGTCAGTGATTTCAATTCCACTGCAAACCAGGGCTAGAAGGCTCCAAATCACATGTTGTAAACTAGAAGGTGCTTTTCTCCCTCCCCAGTTATCATTGGCAGGCTTCTCTTAGTAGAGAAAATGTTTAATTTTTAGAAGTTTGGAATCCTAAAGAGATTCCTTTCAATTTTCAATCTGCCAGTTATCTGTCCTGTTCCTCGGATGTGGCCTTAATTCTTTATAAGAAATAAAAGCTTCCGAGACTCCAAGGAAGTTTGCTGAGAATTGTAGTAAATCAGAGAAGCAAGCCAGTCCTGGCAGTCTCTTGGAAGGTTAGCTTTGGAGGACTGAGAGTTCAGGGCCCAGGCTTCTAGAGGTTACGCCTGAGATGTGTAAGTGAGACTTGGAGGCAGGAGATAATAAATATAAGCTTCAGGAGTTTGGAAGGCCAAGGGAGTTTAAGAAGATTATCAAAAGACATTACAACTTCAGTTTCAGCTTCTCGGGAGGCTGAGGCTGAAGGATCACCCAAGCCCAGGAGGCTGAGGCTATGGTGAACCATGATCACGCCACTGTACTCCAGCCTGGAAGACAGAGCGTGAGACCCTGTCTCAAAAAATAAATATAAATAAAATTTAAATTTAAAAAGGAATGTAACAAGATCAGCTGAGGGGAATTTGTTTTGGAAGAGAGGAAACTATTGAGAGCAGAAGAATTGATGGGTGGATTTGAATAATGCTACAGAAATAAAGTTCGAAAGAAGAAAGAAAGATCATTTAGAGACTAAATCAGGTGGTTGGCTTTGGAGAGAAGGTGAATATTTTTATCCAAGCCCAGAGGAAAGAACGATGGCAGTTATGTCAGTTGGCCTTGAGGTTAAATAGGAGAGGGGTAATTGGGAGGTCATGAAAATGCTCAGGTAGATGAGTACACTGTGCTCTGGGTGAGTGTTGGGCAGAGTGATTTTGCCATGGGTCCACCTGCTGCTACTTTCCTTCCTTGTCTACTCCTCTGTAATTGAGTTCAGTAAAGAAGGCTGAGGTTAGGATGACCTCCACATGTGAGGTTGATTTTCTTTGTTTCCATGTAGATGAACAGCCCCTGGGTATGGATGGCTGCTTCTTTTCCTCACATACTGTAAGTCCCATGTGGCCAGTAGATAACCTTTGATTTGTTCCCATTCTGTGCCAGTGCCTTAGACCTGTGTGTCAATGACAGCCAGCTGTCACTAGTTCCTTGGCTTCCCAAAGGGAAAGAAAGAAATTCCCATAAGGAAGTAAATGTCCCAAATTAGATTATTTTTATTGAATGGAATAATTGAAAATGTTGAATGGGATCATTGACAACCTCCTGGTAATTTTGTGGGGGAGTTATTTTTAAAAGTTCTATGTGAAAGACTTTCAAAGCAGAGCCCTTCTTTCTGTTTCTAGAGAAAAAAAAAATGTGATGTGGTCTTCTCACCAGTGCTTTGTGTAGGAAGGGATGGCAGAATGCCGAGGGAGGGAAGCCCGTCAGGTTATTGAAATGGAGCCACTAGAACGTGTGTGTCTCTTTCCAGGACCATGAAACCTCCTTCCCCAGGGCTCTCTCAGCACAGAGGCTCTCCCCTCGGTGGTGCTTCCTAGATGGTGAGTTCTGCATTTCTTGGGGGTATTGCGGGAGGTGGGGAAGTTGAAGAGCAAGGCGTCAATTGATAGGGTGGACTCTAGTTTTCCGAAAGATTATTCAGAAAGCCTTCATGTGAATTCCTCCACATGGTTGATATTTTCGGGCTGAACGACGTGGGCCTGCTGATGTTGCTCTGTCCTTTCCTGAAGTCATTTCCCTCAAGGCAGCTTGGTTAACTCTGGCTGAACTCAGCACCCACTTGCACAGGCTGATGTTTCCCTATCATCAGCCCTCTTTTCTTAAAGCTTGAATGCCTGCCTTAAATTAGTTCAGAGCAGTAGCTGGATTCTACAAGCATAGGATGGATATTAATTTCTATGTTGTTTGCATCTTACGGAACATTCATAGTATTTTTATGAGACCATTATTTCAGTGTGATGTATACATTTCTGGGAGAAGGGCAGAAAAATTCAGTTGCATTCAAATCTGCTTGACTCAGCATAACATATCCATGCATAATAGGTTAGTTATTTTATGATTGTTTAATGAGTCCATTTTTTATCTCAAACATCTCTCTCCTAGATGCTGCATAATACTACCTTTCTATCCAATTACCCATATTGCAGTATCTTCTCACCTCTGTATATTCATGCTTACATACTGCCCAATGTATCTGCTACCTGTTCTCTCTCTTGTTCAGATGGAGACATGTTCATTGTAGACACCCTTGCTTTTTTTTTTTTTATCTGTGTGAACATCTGGGAGGATATAAATGTGAATAAAAGTATGACAGGATGTGTGAGTGTATGAACAAGCATTGGGATGGCAGCAGCAGAGATCTATTAAGATTTAAGGACCGTCCAGTTAACTGGCAGCAGAAGAGAAGGGTATAACTTTGATGCCAGATCACAGAACATTTTGAATGCCATATGCATATTTTTCTAGTGTTATGAAGATGGGCACTTGTATCTATATGAGATCTAACCCATATAAATCATAATGCAGGTTTTTGTTAATGTCTCATCAGCTGTCTCTGAGAACTTTCCTCCACCTTCTTTATTCCATAGCAGTGAGAAACATAATCATTTGTCATTTCTGAATTTACAGAGGAACAACTTATATTTCAGAAAATTATGAAAATATGTTCTATCTAAAGTCTTAGATAAAATTACAGCTATTGTGGGTAACAGTCTTAACCCAGATAGTAGTTTTATTAAACCTTTTAAAGGTAATTGCAGTCACGGTTTAAGGGAACGAAGTAGAGTGAATTTCTCCAAGGCAGATTTTATTCTATTCTTAGATTTTAGAGAGCAGGGACCATAATTGGCTGGTTTCTTAGTTCAGTTTCTTTTGGAGAGAAGCTACTCATTAAATGTTTGTGAATTTTAAATAATTACTTGCTTTTTGAGTTTTTCTTTCTTGTGCTATGTTTGTTTTGTAGAAAATCTATTTGTGATATCTGGGCTTTGTAAGATAGATTTAAGTGAGAAGCACATAATTCTTTGGTTTGCTTTTCTTTTCTTTTTTTTTCTCTTTTTTGAGATGGGAGTCTGATTCTATCACCTTGGCTGGAGTGCAGTGGCATGATCACGGCTCACTGCAGCCTTGAACTTCCTGGTCTCAGGCAATCCTCCCGCCTCAGCCTCCTGAGTAGCTGGGACCACAGGGGCACGCCACTATCCCTAGCTAACTACAAAAATTGTTTTTGTAGATATGAAGTCTTACTTTGTTGCCTAGGCTGGTCTCCTAGCTTCAAACAATTCTGCCACCTGAGCTTCCCAAATTGTAGCCAATAATTCTTTCTAATATTAAGAATATTCAAAATAATTTCTAGAAACCCAAAGTTTGTAGTTCAGATTTTTTTCCCCCACACCATAGATGCAGCTCAATTTCTTTTTCGAGAATGCTTAAATAATTTTTTTTTTTTTTTTCTGTGTTGGCGTCCTTCAGACATGATGCTAAGGATGCAGGTTGAATGTGAAATGATTCATTTAAGACCACATACAGTCGTCCCTGGCCTAAATCTTCAAGCCGTTTTCCAAAATGAGAAATCACTTCCCTTAGAAGTCTACATAACTATAGTGTTTTCTAGCTTTATTTACTTAATAAAAACATACCAAGTGCTACCTTTCTTTATGATCCTGTGCTAATTTCAGGAGGCATAAAAGATTAAATGAAACAGATTTTTAAAGAGAGGCAGGTCTGGCCGGGTGTGGTGGCTCACGCCTGTAATCCCAGTACTTTGGGAGGCCAAGGCAGTTGGATCACAAAGTCAGGAGTTCGAGACCAGCCTGACCAACATGGTGAAACCCCATCTCTACTAAAAATACAAAAATTAGCCAGGTGTGGTGGCTTATGCCTGTAGTCTCAGCTATTCAGGAGACTGAGGCAGGAGAATCCCTTGAACCCGGGAGGCAAAGGTTGCAGTGAGATGAGATTGTGCCACTGTATTCCAGCCTAGGTAAGAGAGTGAGACTCTGTCTCAAAAAAAAAAAAAAAAAAAAAGACAGATCTCTTAGTCTTATAGTTATCTGTGAAGATAGTTTGTATAAGAAATTTTTAAAAATGTAAATGTGCCTGGAGGCAGATGTAATACATTCTGGCTAGGGTAGGGAGGTTGGAACTGAGAAAGATTTCACAGGGGCACAAGTACTTGAGCTGGTTCTTTAAAGACAAGTATGATTTATATGGCAGAGGCAATGGAAAGGGCTTTCTAAGCCTTAGAATAGCAGTGGCAGAGGCATGAAAGTGCTGAGGTTTTCTTAATAAATTTAGGGACTGGCCAGGAGATTAGCATGACTGCTGTGTAGGGGTTTTGACCAGCATAGTTGAATAGAAGGTTATAAATTTGGTGCTAGATTACTGAACATGCTGAATGCCATATGTATTTTTTTCCCTAGCAACTTCTGCTGATCGCTTTTATCGAATAGACAGATCTCAGGTAAGTTTTCTTCCAGCCTGCTTGTGAAAGTGAAAAATTCCCAAGTTCATATACTTCATTGGTAGCTAATCTCATAAATTTTTCTAATGAAAAACACTGAGACATTTACACATTTTGGAGTGGGGTTCATAACCTAAGCTGTGAACCTTTTATTTATCTTCGTGTGTTTTATGATTTATGGACTCAAGATGATACAGCTTGATCTTGCAAATGAGTACAGAAAATAAGTTGACTTGTAGACATTATCATCAGCCTGTACTCCAAATGTTCATTCACACAGATATTTTTACTCCTTCTTAGCGAAATTTTATGTCTTTTTAAGCTCATTTCTGTTTAGCAAGTTTGAGGCCCCAAGTGTATACCTAGGCTACTTAGTTTCAGTTTGCCAAGCCCTACAGGTCAGTGATGAGAAAAAAAAAAAAAAGGCTTATTCAAGGTCACAAGTCCTCCCAATATCTGAATTCTCCTAGAAAAATAATGTACAGTGTTGAACCCAATAATAAAGCCAGTTGTTTACCATGCTGCTTAGCTTTGACCAGGTCATGGGGTGGAAGTCCAGGCCATCATACACTCCTGCTGGACCACATGGCATGTGGGTGTCACTTCTCTAATAGTATTTGGGAAGGAGATGAGTCAAGACCATTTCTAGATATACCTAAAATAATTGGGCTGGGCGCAGTGGCTCATGCCAGTAATCCCTGCACTTTGGGAGGCTGAGGCAGGTGGACCACGAGGTCAGGAGATCAAGACCATCCTGGCTAACATGGTGAAACCCTGTCTCTACTAAAAGTACAAACATTAGCTGGGTGTGGTGGCAGGTGCCTGTAGTTCCAGCTGCTCTGGAAGCTGAGGCAGGAGATTCCCTTGAACCCAGAAGCAGAGGTTGCAGTGAACCAAGATCATGCCACTGCACTCCTGCACGGGTGACAGAATGAGACTCTGTTTAAAAAAAAAAAAATCCTAGTTAATTGGAAATCAAGGAGATTCATCTCTCCCTGTCTCCCACTGCCTGCCATAGGACAGCTTTGAGGAGGAACGCCAACCAATCAAGCTTCTGGCAACACACTGTGATCCTTTGACACGTTGAAGAATTTCATTATTCCTGGAGACCCAGAATCCTTGTTTTGTTATTCTTCATGCAACAGACTTCTTGTTCTTCCTTAGGAACATTTGCACTTTGTGATGGAGATTTCCCAAGATGAGATTTTTATTCTGGACCCAGATATGGTGGTGTCACAGCCAGCGGGGACACCTCCAGGCATGCCTGACCTGGTGGTGGAGCAAGCCTCGGGGTGAGTGTGCTTCTCCTTGCCCTGTGAGGCTGGCCTCAGGGTGACATTGTGTCTAGTTTGCCTTTGAACTTGCTGTTACTCTAATGACATCAAACATAAAGATCTTCTTGTTGTGTTTCCTTAGAGTGGTTATTTTATAAGTCTGTCTGATGAATGGCCGTGTAGAAACACAAAAGCAGATTTGCATCATGTCCAAGCCTTCTTTACCCATCACAGCAACACTTCTTAGCAAACCTGGAAAATACTGGTACTTGTGTTTCTGCTTATGTGTTTGTAGTAACTCTGTTATCCACATAAAAAGTGGATACAGATGATTTGACAGTTTTTCTCCTCTTCCTCCTCTTCTTCTTCTTTGCTATTTCCAGGCTGCTGGAGACATGTAGATTGTATAGTAATAACTATGACATACCAAATGCTTTTTAGGACCTCTGTCCTGTGCCTCTCTTCTATTTCTACCACCACTTCATAGTAACTTAATCATCTTAAGTGCTCTGTGCTTATTTTCTCATCTGTAAAATACAAATAATAATAATCCTCACTCAGAGAACTGTTTAGTGATTAAAAGAATTGATACAGGTAAAGCACTTAAAGTCATTCCTGAAATTTTAAAAACAATCATTGAATAGAATGTTATTAAAATAATCATCATCATCATAATGCCACAGTGACCTTGAACATTTGGTACAATTATCTTTAATTCATAGATTAAAAAATTGAGACCTAAAGGGTTATTTTGCCTAGTATTTCACAGAAAATAAGTAGAAAAAATGAGATTCAGTCCTGGGTTACCTGATGCCAGAGCCCATGCATTTAACTACCACCTTGCACCACAAAACATAATTAAGATTTCTAAATTATTTCAATAATTCAGAACTATTTATTTAGAGAATTTTGTGTGCCAGGTCCCAGTGTAAGCACTTGGGGTGTAACAGTGCAAAAGTAAAAACAGATAAAAATCTTTGCCCTTGTGAAATTTAGTGTTTTGGGGCCTGAATTGTTGAAATAAGAATTGCTCTAGAAACCATACACAATGTACCCAAATAGTAAATGCACATCATCTACACCTACTCGTACAGTATGAATGAACGGGCCACTAGGTAAGCAAACTGCAATGTAATCTTCATCCCTGTTTTACCTTGTTACTTGATTTACTCTTTTCACTTTTTTTCATTCACTGCTGCTATTTGTGAGTGGTTTCCTACTCTTCCAGGGCCAGCTGATGTCCAATATGTACCAAGTCTGGGGGAGACAAGAGAGGGCACAAGTGGCTGTGTGGAACAGATAGAAAGCTGTTCTCAGGAAGCCAGAGCCATGATGTCAGAGCATGAGGGGAAGGCCGACAGGTACAAGGGGTAGCCTCATGCACCCCTGGGAGCCTCAAAGGTGGTGGGGAAAGCCACCTTTACAGGGCACATCCATATACCAGACCCATCAGTTGTGGGGAAAGGAGGTACAATGTTTTGTCCTACTGCAGAAGCAGCAGGTGCTGGAGTCTGGGTGTCCTCCTACCCCAGCTGATCTGGGCTATGTCTATTGATATGGTAAGGAGAAAATTCATTCTTCCAAGTTGCCCTGGTCTTTGCTCACTCGGTCATTTTCTTCATGTCAAATAATAGCCAAAAGGAATTGATTTAGGCCTGGCTAGAACTCTGTTAGCTCTAACTTTAAAAATTAAAGTAGCCTGAAAATCCACCAGGACTTGAATCAGTGCTTTTCTTATTTCTCACCAGTTTCCTCCCTGAAATAAACCAGGAACAGGGAAGCAGTGAAACAGGATGGACTTTGTTATTTTCTAATCTGCATTTCTACAGTAGGTCTATTACTTCTTTTTCATGTCACATTTAAAATGACTTAATCTTGAAATTCCATATTCTCATTTGTAAAGGGGACAGGATCATACAAATAGTTCATGATTGTTGAGATAAATGAATGAAATAATAAATGTGTAGTATCTGGTAAATGCTCCATAAAGATGAATTTTCCTTCTCACATTTACAGGCAAGATTCATCTTCAGAAAGTGAAGACTAAGTCACGTGGCTGCCTTTGAATGCTTAACTGTCTGGTACCCTTCTTTCTCTCAGGATCTCAGACTGGTGGAATCCTGCCCTGCGGAAACGCATGCTGAGTGACAGCGGGCTGGGGATGATAGCTCCCTATTATGAGGACTCAGATCTGAAAGATCTCAGCCACTCCCGCGTGCTACAGTAAGAGTTCTCTTGCTGTTCTTTTCCTCTGTGCTACTGTGATTGCTGGGAGAGGATGGACTGTGGGCTGTGCACCAATGGGCAGGATTGTCTTTTCAATGGCGCGCAGGCTGTCTCACACAGGTGCTGCTTTGTGTTTGACATTCCATGCACCTTGCTTACTTTTAGCTGCCCCAAACTCTTCATGGAGCTCCACCTACCATTTCTCTTGCTCCTGAGCCACCTTGAGCTCCTCGCATGTGAACCTCTACATACTTTAAACCTCACCAGTGTCTTCTTTACTGGAGCCTAGTATTTATCAGATGTCCCTGTTTGCCACATCATAAAGACATGCATGAGAGTGATCAGGAGTAGTTTGAAAGTGATGCGTGTTTTTTTTATTTGTGAACATTTTATTTTGCTGTTTCATTTGTCCTGGGCCTGTGCACGTGTGCTCTACCCAATATTGCCACATGGCTTTATAGGCTAAATCTTAGTGCTGTCCATGTGGCGGTTGCAGTCTCTGTGGGTGAGCAGTACAGCGTTTGTTCGTAGATCAGAACGCTACACTTTCTTCTGACATCTGGTCATGGTGAGAGAGTAGGATGCATGCTGGAGTTCTGCATCAGTGTTGGCACCTTTGTGCTCGGTGAATCCACCTCCCTGTCGTCTCCCCTGGTGACAGATGCACTCTTGCCTACCTACTCTTTAATTTCAGTCTACTCACTCCATTTTAGAGGTTATGTGCATGAAATTAGGCTGGTTTCCAGTTTACCTGGGGTCTTAATCAAATAGTGACAATGGCCTTGTAACCACACGTTCTTAGCCTTTTGATAGAATAACAAGATTACTAAGATTCTTAGAAGCCTAGGGTTAACTAAAGAGGCAAGGAAGTGCTTTGTTTCTGAAGAAAGACTAGAAGCAATTTCAATATTACAAAGGGAAAAAAGTGAAAAATTTGGATCTAATTATTTCATTGGCGAAGGTTCAAAGCACACACCCTGAGGGCAAAAGGAGACTTCATTTTAATTGCTTCTCTGTATTACCTCTTACTTTCTTGTGTGAAGAGGGGAAAGGAGCAAAAATGAATTACTATGGATTTTTCTTTTTAATTAAACTGTGTTGTTACTTTCCGATGGCATTTTGATTGCTTACAATTCAGGGTGTTTTTCCATTTCCTTTTTTTTACAGAATTGAGGCTTGCAAACCAGGGTGAGTCAGCCACCCATGAATGGCTAAAAATGTGGCCATTTATCTGTGGGCAGACTTATTGGAAAATTAGAGTTTTAATTAGCTACAGAAATAGATATTAAGCCTAGGCAAACCAGATGAGTATATTATTTGTACTTGTGTATAATCTGTTTCCACAAGGCAGAATATGAGCTCACTCTAGTTTTCTATGTCCTGATTTTTCTATATATAACATACTGATGTACATATCATGATAAAATAATTGTATATAAGATAGTAAATATTCTTCCCAAGAATCACAAATAAATTTACCACTTTATATAATAGCTAGGTTCTTAAAACCAGATGTTAAAATCAACTCTTTTTGTTTGTTTGCTTGGGTTGTATTATCCTTTTAGGATTTATCTTAATCTTTGGTTGATCTTCAATTGACAGCTATAAGTTTTCACAGTCATTTAGACTGTTTAGCTTTATAATGCTCTAGAGTAGTAGACCCTTTTAAAAAATCCTGCAAAATTACTTTGAAAACAAGCAAAGTGGCATTCAAAGATTCGCCCCTAGTCTTTCAGCTTTTCCAGGTGAATCTCTGGACATTGTGGAACAAAAGACAAGTCATCAACACTAGGCTCAGCCTGAATTCCTGTCTCATAGAAGATACAAGCATAATAAAATTGTTGTGTTAAATCACTTAAAAATAAAACAAAACTAGACTAGATGCCTAACCTCAACTTTTTAATTAATTCTTTAACTTTTAAAATTTTTGTGTCCATTGATTTCTTACAATATCTTTTTGTTTCCTTCAGACATCATCTCTGATATAAATAGTTATAATTATAGTTGTGGAAACATCTGATTATGTTAGTAATAACTACTATTGATGGAATACTTCCTGCTTGCTTTGTATCATAATTAAATTATCTTCTTTCAGCAATTTTTAAACTTAGCAGTTGCTTAACAGATAAGTAAACAGAGGCTCCTAAGGGGGTAAAATATTTACCTTAGGTCACTTCACATGGCAAGTGTGGTTTGACCTGAGGTTGGCTTGACTTCTGACTCCATGCTTTTCCTATTGTACTACAGTATCTTCTCAAAGGGACCTTAAAAGTCAGTGTACCAGAGCTGCAGAGGTTTTCTTTGGTTTCTATTTCTTTTTTTACATTCGTAAGGTGAAAAATCCTACAATATAGGGTTACTATGCATGCACATTAAATATACAACTGCAAACTTACCCAAAAGCAAATATGGCCGAGAATTAATCTTAAAGCATTTTTTTTCTTTAAAAGAAGAGATTAAAACAAAATATAATGGTCATAAACCTCAGTTTAAAAAATATGAAACATATATTAATTATGTTCTAATCCAAATAAGTATACAAATTATATAGAAGGCCATCATGTACCAACCACCCTGATTTATTATGTCATTGTTTTTCTATATTTGCATTAGGTCTTTCTTTCAAGCCATAAACAAGAGAGTAGTGTAAAAAATATTGACTATTGTTTCATGGTTTTGTTTTGTATTGTTCAAGTTGGAGTCTCTCTAGTTGGAAAATCTGTAATCCGAAATGCTTCAAAATCCACAACTTTTAAAGTGCTGACATGATGCTCAAGGGAAATGCTTATTGGAACATTTTGGATTTCAGATATTTGGATTAGGGATGCTCAGCTGGTAAGTATAATGCAAATATTACAAAATCTTAAGAAAATCAAAAATCGGAGACAATTCTGGTCCCAAGCATTTTGGATAAGGGAATCTCAACTTGTATTTATTTTTCATTACCTGTGTTATATAATGCATGTATTTTGGAACTTGCCATTTCACTCAACATTATATTTTTGAAATTCATTCATATTGATATATGCGGATTTAAAAAAATTTTTAGTATAGAGTATCGCATCATATATATGCCATAAATTATTTCTCCATTTTGATATTGATTTCTAATATTCTATTATTTTTTAAAATGCAGCAAACATTGTGGGACATGTGTCCTCCTGTGTTGTAGAATATATATGCAGTCTCAGCTCACTCGATATTGCACAATTTACCTTCCCAGTAAGAATATTTATAAATCAGTAACTGAAAAGGCCCTGAACACTTATTTTAATAATCTTGGTATGATCAGCATCTGCTGCTTTAAGCTTTAAAGCCCCAGTCAATTTGGGAGGTAGGAAAGGTTCCATTTTGACATCCTGTTGACAGTGCTAAATGACTCACTACATAAAAAGAAATCAAAAGAGAAACTTTCCATTCTTAGAACTGAAAATACTACTTATTGGTGTTTTCAAGACACTGCTAATGTGGTATTTATAGAATGATTTAGACCCATAAATTCATTTATCAAGGGAAAAATGATCACATGTAAATAAGCAAAGCATTCAATTTGATAAATTGGAAAAAGAATCCCAATGTAAAGAAAAAAGAAATGAGAAGGGTGAAAAATATAAAGATAATGAGAGAAATCAATGATAAGGAGAATAAAACAGACAGAAGATGAACCGAGAATAAAATTTTAAAAAATTATTTGAAAAGATAAATAGGACAAAATTCTGAGAAGACTGATTTAAAAGAAAAAAGTACTGAAAACAGAAAGAAATATACCCACAGTGCCTTCCCTATGTCATTCTTCCTCCAAGGTACTCAGGGCACTTTGTGCCAAGCGGCCCTTTACCCTCCAAATTGCAACCGATCCACTCTGTTGGGTCTTCTCAGCGTTTTCTGATGGTTTTAAACTTTAAAATAGTCCCTTAGATCCATCCCTTTTCACAGGCGGACTGAGAGGCAATTAATATAAAGAGGATGAATTTGATTTCTATCATTACTGGAACTGGCTGCATTTTCACCATAATTTTAAGGGAAGATATATACATGTTCACTTATATGCAGATCCTGTAAGAAAGACTATAATTCCAAAATAGGATAAACAATGTGTATAGTGCCTTCAAAACCTGAAATATTTAAGAACCAATTTTGAAATGAATTGATGAGAGGTGGTTGACTGACATGATCACTGCTAGGACCATAATGATTTTGTCTTTAAGTTTAAAAAAATGTTTTCAGTGTCCAAGGAAGTTGTATTTAAAATAACATGATTCTGGAAATGTATTTGTTCTTATCAGTAATTGTACTACCACGATTCATGACAAGACTATATTTCATTTGGCAGAAGATTAATAAGGAGGGAATTAGCTTAAATTTTTGCAGACCTAATGTATTTGAGTTGTAAGGAAGAATTTTGCCACTTGAGTATCTTTGAGATAAGAAAATAGGCATGGAATGAAAACTGTGATATATTCTTCTTAAGTTTTCTTTGAGAAAAGGACAGACTTGCCTTTGAGTTAGATGGGTTAAGAGCAGGCAGGTAAAGGGGCTAGAAGACAATGCTTTTGTTTCTGAATCAGAATAGTCTTTTTCCAGTTCTTAGATTTTGTGGTTTGTGAGAAATCCCCAAATGACTGAAAGAGGTGTAATTTTTCTCAGTGTCCCCAAGCCCTAAGCCTGAAAGAACTAAAATGGACTGTCACACAAATAATATCTTGCTACTAGATGAAGACACAGGGGAAACAGTGTAGTGAAACCACACATGGGACAGATATTCAATCCGGATAACTGTGTCTAGGCAGGTATCTGCTACCCGATCAGCTACGCAGGGCTAATGGGTTTTTATGATTGGCAGGGGATTTCTGTCGACAAGAAAAGATAATGCTATCAAATGTTTAACTCTAATGTGTGAGGTCTGATTTGTGATTTCATTTGAATCCTAAGAAATATGGTGAACAATTCAGTTAATCACTTATTAAACAAATCAATATCGGACACCTTCAGTGACT